GCCCACATTCGGAGGCCTTTGCCTTTGGAAAATCGTGAGGCCCCCGTAGACACAAATGTTATTGTTACACAGTCAGATACATGGCAACATGGCAGGAGGCCACCAGCGCAGAACAGACACTGCGTCGCGTGAGACTGTCTGAGGGCGCACGAGCCGAACCCCGCTTCAGGGCTATCTGAAAAGCGGGGCCAGCTGCGCAGAGCAGAAAGCACAGCCCATGCGACACACACGCGGCGCCAACAGAGGAGAGACGACGAGGGAAGAGGCGTGGTGAGTGGACGGCGGCAGGAGGCCCCAGGAGAGGGGCCCGATGTGGTCCCCCGACTCTGAGAACAGTCTGCAACCAAAGCAGACGCCGGGCAACTGCGATCCTGGCGAAGGTAAGGAAGCCTGGTACCCGATGCTTCGGGAAGGCTTGGAACAAACACCTAGCAGGGCTATGACTGAGACACGCGCATTATGGAACAGCCGCTGACGGTGGGTAAACCGAAAGCAAAAATCTGGGAAGGATCCCAACAAAAGGAGGATCTCCAGTGTGGCCCACAGAGGGCAGCGGGAATGGAGCAGAGACCCAGGATGTCCCACCAAGGAAACGTGAGATTCACAAGGCGGACAGGAAAGTGGGGACACTTTTAAGAGAGAGAGAAAGGCTTGCTGTGCATCTGCCTGTGTGCACGTCTTGCACGGGGGTCATTTCTGTTTCTTATGTGCTGCTTCAGACCGTAAGTACTTTGTAGGCCTTTGCCAAAGGCCTAGAACATATCTGTATCCAAGTTAAGAGGAAACTGCTATTTTCCTTAAAATGTGCTGATGTACACACAGAAGCTTAACTGGATTAATTTTAAATTAAATTTAAATTTTCTTTTAGGAATACTGACTTTAGTTCATCACAGGTAGTCATGTGATATGAAGCTTAGGGACAGGAACACACTCAGAAACGGGTCGTTAGGGGATGCTGTTGTCATGTGAACATCACGGAGTGCACCCACACAGGCCTGGACGGCCTGTCCCGCCGCACGCCCAGCCACACGGACAGCCTACTGCTCCTGGGCTGCAAGCCTGTGCAGCACGTAACTACACAACCACACGAGATGGATTCCAGCACAAGAGAAGACGGTGCAATCCAGACACGTGTGAACACGAGCTGGATGGGGCCGCTGCCTGAGTAGCACGCACACTGTTTCACACGACGAAGACGACAGCACGGTGAGTGCAGAACCCGTGACAGTCGTGTGTCAGCAAGTGCCGCGTGCAGGGCAGGGCTGTGCGGGCTGCATTCTCACAGGACCGGCAGTCAGCGGGTGTGTTCACACCAGCAGCACCACCACACGAGTCACGCACTGTGCGCTGACACTAAGATAGCGCTTGGTGACAGGAACTCTTCAGCTCCATTATAATTGTATGGGGCCGTCGTCCAACATGCAGCCCAGCGTTGACGGACCCAGCATTGAGTGAGTGCATGACTGTATTCACTTCTAAGCTGAACAGAAATTTCAAGTGCTGATTTATAAACTAGGAGAGAGACTTGAATTTGGAACCTGGATATACCACTAATCAGTTCTGTGACCCTACACCAGTTATTTAATCTCTATGACTCAATTTCCTCATCTGTGAAATGGGTATGATAATCCCTTCAGCTTCCCAGCGGTCACATGGACACAATGAGCCTTCACTCAGCCCACGCCTGTGCAGAGAAAGATGGATGCAGTGTGAGCTCCCTTTCCTTCCCCAGCACACCATAACATAATGCGATATTTAGAATTTTAACTCAGGCAATTACTTAAGTAGTAATTGCTATTTGTATTTACATAACTGCTTTGATCCAAGAAGCTCCAAGGGCTTTACTAAATTTAGCGTTTTCATAAATGTTTCATTTGCATGCTGTGGATTTTATTTACCCACATCAAAACTTGGAATTTCCTAAAGCAAGATAGTCAGATGGGTAAAGAAAACAAGGTGACACTGTCATGTGTACAGGGACCCCGGTCTGAGTTCTGACGTCTGCTCCAGTCCTGTGGAATGACGTGGCATCGGAGGGAGGGAGGTGTCTTCTCCTCTGTCAGCCCCTTCAGCTTCTGCCTGCCCCCACTTCTTGGGCACTGGGGACGGGTTCAATTGTGGGGAGAAAGTCCCGAACTCTGGAAGTGCTGATGCTGACTGTCCCCAAGGCACCGGGACAGGATGTGAGGAGCCTGAACCTGGGGGCTGGCACTGCCCCCAAAGGACGGCCGCTCATGCCGTCACAGGGAGAGGGGGGTGCCCGCACAGCAGGGAAGTGGGCTTCAGCCATCGTCACCAAAGCACATCTCCTCCCTGCCCCACACTCCAGGGTTTACCCTGAATGATTTAATTACACTTTTCCTGTGGAAGACAAATTAAAGAGGAGAGTGGGAGTGTCGTGCCAAGTGCGGTATTTATCTCCCTAACAGCCTGCAGCTCACTGGGGCCCAGAGCTGTTGTGCTGCAAGCAGAAGGCCAGGGTGCGCGGCCAGGGCTGGAGAAGGGGCTGCACCCGACTACGTCCAAAACAAACACCCCACAACAATGCCTTTTCCACACCTTCCCAAAGAGCACCCAACTCCTGCCTGTTCAGATCCTGTCAGGAACGCGGGCAGCGAGAGCCCAGGGCAGGGCGTTCACGGGGGCCAGGACTAAGGACGAGACCCTTCTCCCAGGGACCCCTGACCAGCAGCAGCTCTGGGTGGCAGCGAGAACCTGTTGTTCTGGTGACCGCTTTCTGTTCCCACTACTTAAACAGGACAGCACACACAGGACTTAGGAATCAACCTTAACCGGGTAAGACCCTATCGCATTCTTTTAAGTACCTATATATACATGATAGTTACATTTTTAATGATTAGTTCTGCAAGGTTCTAACTCTGAACTATCTTCAACCTCAGGGGCTCATTTGTCTTATTTGCTACATTCAGTTAAAATGTGCTAATTATAATTTTCTTTTAATCCAGCCACATCTAGGAATCTACAGAAATCTAAATCGAGACGAGCAGTGGCAGTAATGTCACAGCTGCTTCATCCCTGCACGCGCAACTCCAACACTCAGCCTGCTGTTACCCCCGATTAAGGCTCAGTGAGGCCCGGATCTCTTCTGATCCACAGTCTAATTCTGACAGGTAGTATGCCAAGGATTATGCTCAAGTTTTGTGCAGAAAAACAAGGACCATAAAAGAAGTCAAACTTATTCTGGAGTTGGACTGTCTGTAGGATCCACTTCCTTCCCAACGCGCTCTAAGACGTGGAAAGGTTCTCCTCCCCTCGCCTCCCTGCTCGCCCTCACCTGGGTGTGGACGCACGGCCTCTGGGATGGAGCTGAGCACACGGCATCTGAGCAAGAGTGTCACAGGGAATCCTCGCAGACACCCCCAGGGCCTTGGTGGGCATTTCTGGCACAGGGGCCCCTGCTCTGGGGTAAAGGGGCCGTGCTGCTGCCTGGCCGCGACGGGGCAGCCATCCCAGGACACCAACGCACGTGCAGCAAGGGGACGCCTAGAGCCTTCTCCCCAAAGCCACTGAAGGGGTAGTGTTTTCAAAAGAACAAAGACATTCTAAAGGAGTACACAGCAAGACCCAAGACTGGCTCCAGACACTCCAACCTTTCCTAACTGGGAGCAGCCGAAGCCTCCGTTGGGCAGGGGCTCCAAGCTGCTTCTGCCGGCACCACCCCATTCTTCACACCTCCTAACCCAGTCGGCCTAAAGCATCTTCGGTCCCCTCTGCCTTCCGCAGAAACTCCAAAGGATCTTAAAATGTGAGTCGAAAGGTCTGGTTCAAGCATACACAAATCTCATTTGGGGAAGGCCTAGTGGGTGTTACACTGAATAGAATACACACACACACACACACACACACACACACACACACACGTATTTAGATAATGTTGTCTGTGATTACTAAACTCTAAATGGATAAAACACTGCTGGTATAAAGATACGAACCTAATTAAGGTAGTGGGCTTCCTGATGTTTGATATTTCAAGAAATATATAAAATTATATTTGTAATTGCTTAAATGAAAACGTAATTTTAAAACCTTCACTGAGTCACTTCTATTAAAAACAAAATATAAAATTTGTTTTTTTCTCATGGTAACGACACTATCACATTTTAGTTCTAAGGTTTCCCCTGTCTGTGGAAGCTTTGCCTTATTTAATATATAAGAAATAGCTTAAAAACAGTAAACTAAGAAAACCTTCTAATTTAAGAGCATTATCTGCATCGACACATTCTACTTGTGAAAAGCAGCCACAGTGGCATCAGTGCTTCTGGGCGCTAAGACACAGTCGTGGCCGCTCCGCTTCCTCCCTCAGCTGTGCTCACATGGTGGGTCTCCCACAACCTCGGCTTCTACAGCCCAAAGGGGCTCAGGGCAAGTCAAAGCTCCCCCCCGGAATGACAATGACTGGACCCTGGCAGTGCACTCCCGGCCACCAGAAGGTGAGCTGAGGACCCCTGTGGGCGCAGACGCGGCCTCCGCCCTCCAGCCTCGCACCTTCATGGGGTTTACTTTTAAGAATGTCATGTGCTGTGGGAACACCATGATGAAAAGATGGGCTCCCTGCTTGCAAGGAGGGCAGTGCAGAGCAGCATGAGTTCCATGTTTCTCAAACCACAATTCAACATTGCCCACAGCGGACACTGCTACGCCCTTAGGAGGGGTTTGGAGCCAAGACAACCAGCTTGCACGGGCAAGCACCTGGAAGAGAGAGGAAGCCTGGAAGCCCTAAATCCAACCCATCCAAGGAGAATGCAAGGCCGCTGGCTGGGCTGCAGTGTAGGTTAGAGCCGCAGCAGTGCTAACTCCATGTTGAAAAGGTGGAAACTCTTAGGTGCTTCACACCCAAACAATATTGAATACATTCTTAGTGATTATATGCACATGCAAGTCCCAAAGAGCCAACCAGGGGTCGTGAGGACAGGGTGAGGCACACCCCCACCCTCCTTGTTACAGACATGTTTGGACACATCTCAGTGGCTCGTTCCTACCTTTCCCTCTTGGGGGTGTGGACTGAGAGCTGTCCATTGGTAGAGGCATGTGGGTTCATGATGAGGGAGGTCTTGGCAGGGGCGGAGGAGACGCAGGTGGCCGTGGTCAGATCCACGCTGCTGTGGCTGCTGCCCGTGGTCTCCTCGGCAGGGTGCGCACTCGTCACCTCTTTCCAGAGCTGCTGCAGTTCTGCTGGAATCATGCCTGAAACAAACAAATTGGATAATTAAATCAATTAACAGCCAATTCCGTCCTCTTCAAACAGTAATTAAATCAAAGAGTCAGTAAACAAAGCCTAGTGTCAGGGGGCTCTGGGGCTGCAGTGTCTTTCCCTCCCAAGGAAAGCCAACAATGCAGGGACAACCTCTCCTCCCCGAGTGCAGGTGAAGCGTCCTCGGCTGCGGCCGACCGTAAGCCTCCATCCCCTGGGTGGTTTCCAGATTTTGGGGGAAAAGTGGATAGATGTTATATATTTTTAGACACAAAGAAGGACTCAAAATAAATGTGTTCAACAATACGATTATGACAACATGAACCAAAAAATGAATAATTTTTGTGCTTAAGTCTTAGATGATGACAAATAGCTTTGTTATTAAATATAGTTTTTATTAATCACTTTTAGACATAAATTATGAATTCATATCATCTTCCTGAAATGCTTTTCAACTTTTAACAGTCAAATTGATTATACTATGATTATTTCATTAACACACCTATCTTCCTCATTAATTTTGGTTTCTAGTACCACATGCTTAATTGATGGATGTGTCTACTGAAAAACTGTGTAACTTTTTATACAAGTAACACTATTATTACTGTCATTTCTTAGATCAGCGCTAATGAACCATTGCAGGATACAATGAAAGTGTAAAGTTGGAGTAATAAAGTTCTCTTGTTTTCTAAAGGGGTCAAAGTGGACATTGAGTCTGAAGGAGTGTCAACCCATATTTTACATCCCCAAGACGACATACGATGAGTATGCTCGTCTCACTCCTATGGCCTCATAGCCTTAATTCTGCTGACACACCTCTCGACAGCCCGGGATTTCCAAATCCGACCCCCATGTCATGCTAGTGCACAGGAGAGAGCCACTCTAAATGACAACCAGCAAGCTCAGCTCGCTCTGAAAGGACACCTACGAGGCATGAGCCCTGGACCTCACTAGGCAATCCCGCTACAGCTGGGCTGCGGTTCCTGGTTTCAGTCAACCGACGTACTTACTACCCTACCTGGAGAGCTGGTCATTTCCTGCCTATACAGCAGCAAGCGAAACAGTGTTTCTTACCAAGTCTAAGGTGCTGGATTAAAAAGGAAGGCTGTGTGCATTATATTCATTTGAAACACATAATAAAAAATGCCAAGGTCTAAATTTAATTTATTTTTGTCATTTAGAATACAATGGGTAGATAATCATCTCAACGCGATCAGCCAAACATCTTTACTTTGCTAAACTGTTAAAGATTTTAATTATGCCGGCATTGGAGAGCACCGTCTAATGAGGCGCAGGGCTCCAGAGGACCCGAGTGGCTAAGAACTGTGAAATGAGTCTGATAGGATTTTTTTATGTTCACCGTGGATCGTTTGCATATCAAAGAGGAGTGAATTATTGCACAGCAGACCAATAACCTCCGCCTTTCTGAGAGGAGTGGTAACAAAAACAGTTGATCTCTCCCAACGGTTCCCCACAAAAAATGTTCAAATACTTAAGGATTTGCAATTAATATGTACTATAATGGAGGCTGCAAATGGTACATTAAGTGGTCAGATATTCTTAGAACGCATCCTCAACAGCCAAGTCGGTTTTCTTCTTCCTTCATAAAAATCAAATGCCAATTATATTTTGATGGATTTTGTCCCAAATGAGCATTTAGTTATTAGGCATATTCAATTATTACTTGTCCCTTGAAATTAAACCTCGGAGGCAAATTAAACAAAGGGAAAGGTCACTACAGAATCCCTGGCCAGTTCTGCTGCATCTGGGTGATGTTCAAATGCCTGGTGAAGTGACCGTGGGCTGTGTGGCTCACAGGCCGGCCACTGCCACTGACGCTGCGCACCAGCCATCACCTGTGAGCCCGCCAGCCCCTAACACTGACCCTGCGCACCGACCATCACCTGTGAGCCCGCGGGCCACTGACTCTGACGCTGCGCACTAGCCATCACCTGTGAGCCCGCGGGCCACTGACTCTGACGCTGCGCACTAGCCATCACCTGTGAGCCCGCGGGCCACTGACTCTGACGCTGCGCACTAGCCATCACCTGTGAGCCCGCGGGCCACTGACTCTGACGCTGCGCACTAGCCATCACCTGTGAGCCCGCGGGCCACTGACTCTGACGCTGCGCACTAGCCATCACCTGTGAGCCCGCGGGCCACTGACTCTGACGCTGCGCACCAGCCATCACCTGTGAGCCCGCCAGCCACTAACACTGACGCTGCACACCGACCATCACCTGTGAGCCCGCGGGCCACTGACTCTGACGCTGCGCACCGACCATCACCTGTGAGCCCGCCGGCCACTGTTTTCTTACAGTCCATTTCACTAAGTGTTTAGAATGTGTATTACCTGATTAATCAATGTGTCGCACACCGACCATCACCTGTGAGCCCGCGGGCCACTGACACTGACGCTGCGCACCAACCATCACCTGTGAGCCTGCCGGCCACTGACTCTGACGCTGCGCACTAGCCATCACCTGTGAGCCTGCTGGCCCGCAGCCCACTGCTTACTCAACTGAAACAACAGTGAACAGGCTTGTCTGCTGGAGATAACACACAGACAGAAAGCCACACAAGTCAACACCTATTTTTATTTTCCAGGGAGTAAATACACTTGAAAAGCACAAACCGCCTATTTTTCCACTCAAACTAACTGATTTCCGGGTCAGCTGCCTGGGGAAGTGGAAAGCCTAGAGGATCGCGAGTCTAACAACTGTGTTGACACTTTCGCTCTGAAATAAAAGAGAACTTTAAAGCCATTTAAAAAATGAATTAAGCCTATTAAAAATTACATACAAACTAACAGTAAGCTGTATATCTAGTAAATAAAGCCAGGCAGATGTCCTGTTATACCTAAGAGAACAATTCCCATTACTCTCCTCCCTTTTATTCCAATGGGCTAGCCAATCAGTTTCATCGTCCACAGGGAGAAATAGTAAATAAAACAGTAACTCATGGACTTCTGGGTCAAATTTCAATATGATAATTACATGTAAGAATATTCATTAGCTTTAGAAGGAAGCAGTCAAGTCAGTGTCCTCCTCAGCGCCACGCCTTGATATTATTATTAAACTTGGGTTCCATGAATAGAGGACTATCTACCAAGATCTCCTGAGAGAATGAAAACAGATAAAAGACAGGCTAGTCACTCATCAGACTAAATGCACATCAAATCTCCAGAAAGCAAGCATTCCGTCCAAAATGGTAGATAGGAATAACCGTACGGAGTTAGCAAACAAATCCATTAACAAGCACACAATTGAGCAATAAAGTTTCTCCTATTGATAGTGTACACTTAAAAATTAAAAAATCAGAATAAAATTGAAAGTATATTTCGATATGGAAGTACTGGTCCTGGCAAGGATCAAGTCATTAAAGAGACCAAGGAGAAAAACAGATACACTAATTATGTAAAACAGAGAAGGCCCTATGGTAGGTAACCTTACAAACAACAAGAACATGCCTCCATTTCATAACCTACAGGGGAAAAAAGGCTTTTGAAATATTGCTCTCTCTCCATTCCTATACTTTGATATTTACATACACATTTTAGGTAACTTAGCCAAGGCCAAAAGCAAGTATATAAAAGAATCTTCATGTTTGTACCATGAAGTGGGCATTTCCAGCGATTTTAACACATACCCCTTTGCCTTGCTACCTTTCTTTTTTCCAGGATAACTGGCCCCTTCATTATAAAAGAAAATGCAGACACAGGTTTAAAAAATGTATGTTGTGGGGACAGTTGACAGATTACTGCTCACGGAACTCAATTTTACAGCCCAGGACTGGCTCACAGACACCGGAGCTGACCAACCTTTCTGTCCTTCACACCATCCCAGGTGACCTGCTCCAGCAGAAAGCTGATTTAAGCCTCATAATGATATCAGTTTTAAGCCATTATCTCTTTGATAAAGAAAAAATTGTGTTGTCTTCCAACAAGACTGAATTCTCAAGCTCTTTTGGGCGAGGAGGCAGGGGAGACCAAACCAACTTCCCGATTCCCTCAAAGATGCCGTGACACTGTGGCTTACTTCCCGCAGGCACCAACTCCAGAAATATTTCTATCTATGCGTAGGCCCCTTGCACACACATAAAGGCACCCTTTAGATGTTAAATACGCATCTTTCTAATGCCGCAGGGATTCATGGTCATGGCACACTGCTGGGCATATCAATCAGTGCCGGGCCGGTGAATTACCGACAGCGCCGCTGATATGTTACCGCAGCGCTTACACTGCACGCATCACCACATTCATTCCCTTCCCATTACACAGGAGCTTGTCTTGTCACTGCCCAATTGCCCTCTTTTGGGCAGCTTAACTGACGTGCCACAACAATGGACCTCAGTGAGCAACTCAACAGCAGAGGAGCACAGGGAAAAGATGAGTGGTGACGCCCAAGTCCAGCGGGTGTGGCACAACAGCCCGCAGCAGTTTCCAACAATACAGCCGAAGGGTCATGCTGCACGTTGTAACATTGTGCAAGTTCAAAAATGCGTTGGCCAATATGCCCTTTGTTTCCCTGGTGTGGCTGTTACCAAATCTCCTCCTTTGACAGCAAGGAGGTGTGAGCAGTCATGGCAGAAAGGGGAGGAAGAGGAGAGGGGAGTCAGAAAAGCCCTGGCCGTCACAGTGAAAACACCCCCACAAGGAAACAAAGCCACCCCAGATGGGGCAGAATTGGGTGTGGCCGACTCCCGAGAGAAGATTCCAACGCAGACATGCCTCACTGCCACCTGACAGCCAAGGTCTGACCAAAGCCCGGCCTGCTGCATGGATGCTGGAGGTTCCCCATCCCAACGCTCTTCAGAGGCAGCTGAATCCAAGGCACCGAAGGCTTTAGCTACCAGCCGTTATGGCATATCTACCTGCATCCAAATGGGGGTGAGCTGAGGGCCCAGAGACAGGGCAGCCCCAGCACAGAGCATGCCTGCTCTCCTCCTCTGACCACACCGCACAGGTGCACTCAGACCACACAGGTGCACTCACCGCACAGGTGCACCTACACCGCACAGGTGCACCTACACCACACAGGTGCACTCACTGCACAGGTGCACTCAGGCCATACAGGTGCACTCACCCCACAGGTGCACCTACACCGCACAGGTGCACTCAGACCACACAGGTGCACTCACCGCACAGGTGCACCTACACCGCACAGGTGCACTCACTGCACAGGTGTACCCACACCGCACAGGTGCACTCACTGCACAGGTGCACCTACACCGCACAGGTGCACCCACTGCACAGGTGTGCACTCACCGCACAGGTGCACCTACACCACACAGGTGCACTCACTGCACAGGTGCACTCACCGCACAGGTGCACTCAACGCACAGGTACACCCACACTGCACAGGTGCACTCAACGCACAGGTGCACCCACACCACACAGGTGCACTCACTGCACAGGTGCACCTACATCACACAGGTGAAAGAGCTACTTACACCAGGGGTGTCCTAAACACAGTGGAGTGCTAGCTTCTGATGCCCGACACCCAGTGGAATAACATGTCAATGGCTTCTCAAAAGAAAAATTTTACATCTATAAAATCTTGTTATTTTTGAAAGAACCTCAGTTTTTGAAGAAGAGCTAGAGATATACATCCTTTCTGATCGGATGAGTGTACTAAACTGCTCAAAAATCAACAGTCAGATGAAGGTAAAAAAGAAAGAAAAAAAAGAGCAAAACCAACAAAAACCGTTCGTTTTTGTAATCACACAAAAATAAACTGGACTCTAACCCTAGATATCAGAAAGTGGAATTTATAAAGCATGACTAAGATTTAAACAGAACAAGTTACATGACATGAAATGCAGCTTACAATGACTTAAAAATAACCTTCAACAAAATTCATTTGTAATTCCAAACTGAAAACATTCCATCTGATTGAAATGCTGTCTGTGGGGGAGCACTGTTTTCCCCTCCCTCAGGGACAGCTGAGCCCTGGGCCACCTGGGTCCCACTGGCGCCAGCAGTGTGGGGACTCCTCCCAGGTCTGCAGGGCTTCCTGGACAGTTCTCCAGGGGCAGGCGGGGCCCAGAAGATGGGCCCCGGCCTCGGCGTCCACACCCACCTTGCGAGAGGGGCTGCAGGGGCAGCGCGGGCTGGCCGGGCGGCAGTGACAGGAGGCCTTGGCGCTGCAGGGACAGGAGGTGCTGCTGCTGGAGCTGCTGCATCTGCAAGAGCTGCTGCTGGAAGGCCAGCTGCTGGGGAGCCACCTGCTGCTGCTGCAAGAGACCAGGCAGAGAGTGAGGCCACGAACAGGCCAGGTGAGACCGCCCCACACACCCATCCATGTCCAGGAGAGAAGGGGCGCTGGGCGAGGGGCGCTCTGTCAAGCTGTCCCCTGGTGTGAGAGGGACACCCGCTCCCTCACCCAGCACGTGCTCTCCCTGGCTGTCAGCTCCGGGACCTCAAACCCCAGCAGGCCAGTGTGCAGGGACCCCAACTCCGGCCCCCGAGGGGCCACAGACAGCTGCCTCCCTCCCGCGCACGGGCGAGCTTTTAACTACTCTGTTTATCACTTCTGACATAAATAAATGAGAAAAAATCAGGCCTTTGAAGAAGAAAAACTTCATCTAATATTGTTAATTAGCCATGACAAACGATGAAATAACATTGTAAATCTTTCATAGAAACAGCCACTAGATTTTAATTACACACATTCATAATTTAGCAAACAACATCGTACTCAACTGTGTTTCATACAGAGACACCGGGCTTCAGGCCTCCACTCCGCTGGAGGCTCAGAAACCCTCCCCGCTTCCCTCCCCAGCTTTGGGCTTGGAAAGAAGGGCTCTACCGTTTGACAAATATCTTTTTGTTGATTGGACAATGACAGGAGGAAAACTTTTGTTGTGTAAAACATCAATACATCATTCCTGTGTTTAGCAGGCCTTGCTCCAGCCAAAAAAATTAATGTAGATTTCCTCGGTAATTATCTGAGTGATAGAAAGATAATACAGTGCAGCAGAACAAAAATAGAGGGAAATTATCTCATATCCTTAATCTGCGAGGAATCAGATCGAGGTGGAGGTCTCAGCCACATCATGGCTCACAATTCGGAAGGGAAGTTAACTCTTCCCAAACCGTAGCTCCCAGAAAAGATCATTTAGGCAAAGAACAAGATCCGTTTTCCTAAGTCTAAGTATTAATGAAAATATCAGGGAGACTTTGCCACAAACAGGACTACACAACCCCGCCGGAGGTTCTGAGAACTCCACTTCCAAACAACTGCATTCACTGAGCCTAAGGCACGACCGCGAGCCGATCCACCCGTGAATGTGTGCGGACCAAGGCTTCCTTGATGCAGAGATGAAGGGAAGAGAGAAATGGTGGCTTCCTTTCGGCCTCTGCGTAGTTTATTTTACAGTAAAAAACCATCATTCTCATATTATCAACCAATTTCAGACTTACTACCATGCCACTGAGAAAGTTAATTGAGTTTCACTCCAAAAAACAAATTCTATATCACTAACAACAAAAATTTAAATAAATTTAAATGAAAAGCCAGTGTTTTCATTTTAAGAACAGCATGCTTAAAATGATCCAATTGTTTTCACCCCTTCCCAAGTTATCACATTAATGTAAAACCCAATGATAGTTATATTCATGTCAAAGTGATCTTTCTCTTCTTCAACAGATATTAATTCCCAGCGTTTTTAAAAAGGGGGGAAGGTAGACAAAAACCCAACACTGATACCATAGAAGTTGGAGGATCTAACTCCTCTTGAAAAAGAAATGATGGGGGGTGGGTGTTGAAGTTTAGGGAGGGTGTTTCCTGTCTTACTGTAAATGAAATGTTTAAAGATGTTGTATTTATATAAAATGACTGATGGCTTTTCTGTTGTCACTGCAGCCATCCCTAGGAAAGCTCATGAAAGCTGTCCACGTTTGAAAAGCCAGGATATAAAAGTATACAAGGCCCATTGTCCAAAGAAAGAATTTAAAAGCAACACTGGTTGCCAAACTGCTCCCCACCCAGTTACCAAGCACAGGATACGAGCCCATTTGTTTACTTCTCACAATTGAACGCACACAAAAAAGGTCTCCGCGCAGTCCCCGCCACAGGTCAGCAGCCAGTGTTAAAAGGCTCAAATGCCCTGATAAACCTTGCATTTCGGATCCCCTCCCTGGAGCTGCAGTCAAAGGTCTGTTTTCCTTTCTTCGGCTCCTCCCTGCTGCCTAACATAAACTGTCATAGCTGCCTGGGACAAATGGCCCTTTTAAAACAATCAACTGAACCTGCCTCACCCACACAGGATGGGAACTTTGTTTGTGGCCTGACTTACTGCTAATGCTGCCTTCTACTATCCACACCCATTCTGTGAGCAGCGGCTATGGAGCCGGCTGCAGGGGGCTGCATCTGGCTCCTAAGGAAGTCTCGGGTCTCACTCAGTGTGGAGCCTCACTTGCTCAAGGAAACATCTTTGAGGCAACTTCAGGGAAAAAGCAAGTCAAGGTTCATTGTTCTGGCCAAAGATTGAGCGACTTGTAGCAAAGGTAATCAAAAAAGGGAAAGGGAGGGAGGGGAGGAGGACCTGACAATTCAAAATTATGAGCCACTGATGACTGGGGATTCAGTGAATTAATATACTCGTTCCATCTGTCAACATCCAAGTTCAAACCTTGTTAAAGTCATAACCACTAGTCCACATCATGAAGTTGATACCGTGTGACTCGGCCACCACCTGCATGCTAATTCAGGAGACACCTCAGGAAAGCGAGGGTCCTTCAGCCACGGTGACAGCACGTCCTGGCCACATCTCCTGGCGCTGGGAACATATCCTGGAATCCAAGACCTGCCCCTTCCTGGGTCTGTCCACCTCGGGATGTTAAGGCAACGTGATCTCCTGTCGCCCGTGCCTTCAAAATAGAGGACAGAGTGCGACCACAGCCAACGTCGTGCCCTGGAGGTGCCGAAATGCTCCTGTAACGTCTCACCTCTCGGCTCAGGGACCAAGCATTGCTCTCCGCCCCCAGCCCCCGCCCCACTCCGCCACCAGCAGCATGTCTGCAGGCCCGGATGCCCCTCTGACAGCAGCGATTTGGGAGAGTTAACTTTTATCCTTCCTTCTGCTGCACCGCGTTCCCCTTCGCGTTTCTTTATCTGCCCTCGGAGCGCATCTGCTTTCATGTTCCCCCAGCATGCAGACGTGCATTTCAAACCACGTCTTGCAGACCAAGTAAGAGGTTAATCAGAAGTGGCAACAGAAGGAAAACACAATCCCTGGTAACTGATAGGAATGGCCGTGGCGGCCCTTTCTTGTTTGTCTTCAAATCTAGAGTTAAAGATCTTTAAAAAACTAAATTTTGATGCCTTTGAAAAGAAAGAAGCACAAAATAACAACAGGGGGTTATAGCCTGCGAGCCACGGGGGAGAAACTCCATAATTCTCCTTCTCCCTTTTGAAGGCTGTTAGAAATCTGATTCAAAAAAGCAACAGCAGAAGGGAACCCTCTCGAGGCTGTAACCATTTCCTGTGATCATGCATAATGTGCTTCAAAAGTGGGTTTTTACCAATTCTGTTGATCAATTGCACCTCCTTCATATCCTCCTTTTCTCTGCTGTTTACATCTGATGTGACTCAATGACAAGCACTGGCTGAGGCTGTGAAACAGGCCTGTCATGTTGATTTATGGGCGCATCAAACCACAACTTGTCCAAACCGAAGCTCGCAGTTCATTAATTAGAGAGTTGTGACTTTGAAGTCAGCTTTCAGACTGTGGTTTTTAACATTTGGCTTAATTTATATGCTCTTGAATGTGGATCTCTAAGGAAAAAACTGAAATTCCCTTCTTGTCTTTGAACTTCTTTTGACCGCACAATAATCATTTCTTTGTCCAGAGTGATGCCTGCAATCCCAGAGTCATTAACGCGCATTGAACTGCCACTGATGAGTAAGCCCTACTGAATTAGAAAAACAGCCAGCAAAACAAAGCTCAGCGCCTCCTGCACAGTGATATCTCACAATTACATGCCTTCCCTCCCTGTGCCATTTCCATTTTAATTACTGTTAGTCCTTTAGATTTACATTTTAGACACTTTTTAATCTGTTCCCTTTTCTATTATAGCAGGACCCGGTAGCACGCCACTGTACACAAATGTGTCAGCACTTTCATTAAAGCACCTCCTCCCTGCACCCCGAAACGGCCCCTACTCTGCGGGGGTTGATATCCAGGCTGCTGAAGAGGACTCCAGGGCGGAAACTTGACAGGGCATGGAAAACGCACCCACTTTGTGTTGAGAGGAACCCACAAAGGGAGAAGGGCCGGCTGATGCCCACTGTGTCAGATGAGTGCGTCCTGGCCTTCCCACCCAGGGGAGGGAGGAGTCACCTGGAGACGGCTTCCCCCCAAGGAGAGTGGCCGCCTGCTTAGGGCCAGCGCAGAAGCCATTCACCCAGACTGTGAGCTGCTTCTGTCATTCCAAGGAGAAAACGCTCAATGAAAAGAATACCTGTCACTGTTGGAATACGAGGAGGTCAGATACGTGGGCAGCTCTGGGATGGGTAGACACAGGCCGTTTTAATGCGCACAGGCACAGGACACGCCCCCAGTGACTGAGCCTCACCCATGCACGCGGCCACACAGAAGGTCCCCCAAACCTTCCCATTCCTGGAGGCAATACTGTCCCCTACCTGGGTGGGGTGCCTCCTGCTATAACTCTGTGAACTTACAGAACACTGTGCGCATGGCAGCTGCTGCGATACCTACTGTTTGCTGGGGAAACACATACAATCCAGGTGGGAGACTCCTCTAACGCCCGCTTGTGCCACTGCAGACTTGCTTTCAGCAGTTCTGATACGTACAGCTCGCATGAAAAGTTAAACTGAGACTGTGGGATGGAGAATCTGGCTCTAACTTTCTTTTTTTTTTTGTAAATCCTCACCTGAGGATACTTTTTCCACTGATTTTTTTTTTACAGAGAGTAGGAGGGGAGGGGGGATAAACATCCATGTGAGAGACACATCAATTGGTTGCCTCCTGCATGCACCCTACTGGGGATCAAACCTGCAACCCAGGTATGTGCCCTTGACCAGGAATCCATCCCGAGGCCCTTTCTTGTGCAGGCCGACGCACTAACCATTGAGCCCCACCGGCCAGAGCTTGCTCGAACTTTCTGGTTATCCAACCTCAGCACACACCCAAGCTCTCTGAGCTGGATACAATAATCAAGTGTGTGTCCAAATCAAATTTTCCTGAAAGCACTTCACTTCCCCCTGGGCAAAGGGGCCTGAAGGCTCTGCCCAGGATCCCCGCCCCGCTCCCAGGAGGTGCACCTGCACCAGGATTGTAAAATACGTGTCAGCAAACAAACGGAACCCAGAAAAACCGGAGCGAAAACAGGACAATAACTCTCGGTCTGGAAGCTGAGAATGATAGAGAGTCAGCTCCGTTGTGCAATCATTTAAAAGATGAATGACAGTTTAATAGCCACTAGATAGTCCTCTGGGATCTGTGGTTTGAAAGTAAAATATGTATTGTCGGTACCTCTTTAGGCTGTTTTCCAGCATGTTGTTGTTGTAAAAGTTGAAGCTGCAACTGCTCCTGTTGTTTTTTATAAAACTCCTGAAGCTGCTGCTACAAAGAAAAGAGAGGAGGTGAGTCAGGGGCGCCACCACTGTCCCTCTCGGTGCCGCACACACTGAGACGTGAGGGACAGCCTCCTTTTATCTGCAATGGCCTGACCTTTAGTTTGAAACTCGACAATAAATTTCAGCGCACACTGACTATTCTTGGCATTATTGTTTGAAAAGTAATCCCCCAAATGAACTGATGAAAAACATACCATTTTCCACACAAACTAATTAAAATAAGGCAGGGGATGACCTTTGATTGTACAACAAAGGCAAACGCCCTTGGTGCGAGTCTGGTGAATCTCTCCTGCGAAACAGGCCGCGCTTTCTCAGTGACGGGGCTGGGAGCGGGGCTGGCCCCGCGTGCGCACACGTGTCAGAGGGCGGCCAGCCTCCCGGGCGCCGGCCCGGCCCACACCTGCCCGCAGCGCGGCCGCCGCAGTACTCGGTCTCATCCTTTGCGTTCAGGGGTCCATGAAGTCTGCAGATTAGGTCTCCATGGTACAGTGGCAGCCAGGAATTCATTTCGGCATCAGCACAGGTGAAAGAATAAAGTCAACTGTGTACCTTACAATTAGCCAACCCCAAAATGGTCTTTGTGTTTGAAAGAAAAACTCTAAGCTTCCAGTTGAAATGGGACTGCGAGAGCTGCCCCATCCGCTGCTCCCAAGGCTCCGCTCTGCTTTGGTTCCCACGTTCGGAAGCCCCGGGCTTACCAAATAAAAGACTGCAAAGCCACACGAGCCTGAAAGGTCTTATTTCTACCAAGTCCCGTTACAGCCCTAATCTCAGTCCAGGGGCTCTCTGGGCCAAACCTAGTGGCTGCGCAGGGGCTCTTTCGGGGATGCAGCCCATTGGTTCTTCAGGGCCCAGGGGCTGCCCCACCTCGGGCTCCGCCTGTGCTTCCAGGAGGAGCAGAGGAGGCTGGTTACCTGCTGGAGCATGAGGGCCTGCTGCTGCTGCAGGAGCACCTGGAGCTGCTGGGGGCTCAGCACTTGCTGCTGCAGGATCTGCTGCATCTGCTGGGGGGTGATCACTTGAGGTGTCATCATAGCCACTGACACGGGCACCTGGAAGGTTAACACAACGTGAGCAGGAACCAGGGAACCACACGCACACAGCACACAGCACACAGCCCACAGCCTTTCCAGGCTCAGCAGCTGCAGGCCACCGGCTTCAAGAACTGACCGATTTCCCGCGCACAGGGTGCTGATCCAGAAGGAATGCAGCAACAGATCCTATTGAATCTATTAGGAAGTTCATTTCAAGTAAAACACACACACACACACACACAATTAACAGATAACCATTCACACACACACACACACACACACAAAATGACACAAAAAAAAAACAAAAGAAACCCCTGCAGCACTGACAGCTGTCCAGGCAGTCTTGCAAGCAGACAAGGACTCAGGAAGATCTGGAGGTAGGTTAGAACAGTCTCAATTTCTTGTTAAGAATGAGTTTTCCGTGACAATGAAGTTAACACAAGCAAATTTTGTTTTAGAGAAGAAGGCAAATGGGAACCAGTACCTCCACAGCTGGAGCTCACGTGAGCCCCCGCCTCTGTGGATCGTGATTTTAAGGAGGATCAGATCAAGGAGCGCTTAGCCTTGTGCGTGGCTGACCCCTGGGCGCACCCCTGCCCTCGGCACAGGCCTTCCTATGATGCCTTTCCCCTTCCTTGTTCCCCGCACACAGATGTCTCAATTCCTCCAGACTCTGTGTGATACCAGTTGAGCTGCTTCCCATGACATTTCAGTGACAAACAGCTCCAGTGATGAACTTGATAGCATTTCATATTTGCAACTGTTAACACGTTTCTGCACGGGCATCTCGGCAAGGAACCTGCACACTGTATCTGAAAGGATGATGTCTTGTTCAGATAAAACACTGACATTAAAATGACAGGCTGTCTTGGCCAAGGTTACACAAATTGTATTCAAGCGGATACCTAATGACAATGCTATGAATTCTGCAAGCTTTCGAGAATGTAATTTAGCTATTCAAAATAATCACTGCACTTGTGTCTAATTTGCAGACTACATGAGAACCATTTTGTCAGACCCCGTAATACAAGAAGACTGTTTCATGAAAAATCACCCCCAAATAAAAAAGATAAGGAAAGGAAAAAAAAAAACACAACAAAAAAGAAAAGACAAAACCTGTATGTCTCCTAACAGTAATATTTAAGCATCGTACTTTTCTTTAGTTTTTAATCAAACATGTGACAGCAAGAAGCAGTAAAGGATATACTTTGTTAAAAAGGATCTGCTGTCATCTCATGCATTACAATAAAAGGTAATAACATGTTTTGCACTTTGCCTGTGTGCCACTTAAAAAAAAATCCGGCAGACAATAGCTGATCAGAAGATAAAAGAGTTTAAAAAATCTTTCAGGGCAGCAGTAAGCAAAAGCGAGAAATGCAGTATTAATTTTATGTAACATAATGTCTTAATATGCAGTTTATCTTGACTTTTTCACATGATTTGTCCTGTCATTTGCATAGCGAGCTCTCATTCCTAATTTCACAGTCATTATGCACTGATGTCCCGATTTCTCAGCATCACTAATTTTGATGAACTAAAAATGGTTCCTGAAGGTCAGATCCATGTACAGCAAACACCCTTCACTGCTGTTGCAGGCATGTTTCTGTGTGAGGATGTTTATGTGCAAGTTTCTCATTGTTTGGAAAACACTACCCAGAACATTTGAAAATTTTCACTAACCCAACTCCAGAAGGTCACCATGGAATCTTCCGACTGCGCGGCCTTTCAAATGTAGATGTAGATACATTGTAATTTAAAGCAGACGGGAATGTCTGAATTTTTTTACATGCAGAAAGGGACAGATGTATATGAGTGGGTAAATTATCCTCTTAAAAAGACACCTGGAAGCACAAAATACCACAACGGTTCTCAGTGGACTCCCATTCACTCTAGAGCAGTGGTTCTCAACCTTCTGGCCCTTTAAATACAGTTCCTCATGTTGTGACCCAACCATAACATTATTTTCGTTGCTACTTCATAACTGTAACGTTGCTACTGTTATGAATCGTCATGTAAATATCTGATATGCAGGATGGTCTTAGGCGACCCCTGTGAAAGGGTCGTTCGACAGCCAAAGGGATCGCGACCCACAGGTTGAGAACCGCTGCTCTAGGGCCAACACCAAGAAAAATCCATCAACACACCTAGCCATCTAGACATGAATCCCAGTTACTCTACTTTGTGTCCATATAAGAAAAAGCATTTTGAAATTTTCAATATGTATCTGGGTGCCAATCACTATCTTGAGCTGTAAAGCTAACATATCACAATAGAAGTTTACTTTTCCTTGAGAGTTGCATCATCATACAGGGACACTTGATTAAGCAAACAAAAGAACCAAGTTTAAGGTTTCTTTTTTCCTCTGTGTTTCTTGGATGATGTACAATATAAATATCCTTGAGCCAAATTTCTGATGGTGATGAACAGGAAAATGGACAGGAATAGGGTGGTGTAAGATCTGAACTGGTGATGAACACGAAGTTAACAGTGTTACACAGAAGTCATCATAGCAACAGCATCTTGGCTGGGATTTGTGAAACAACGGCGGAAAGCCTATGCTAGAAGGACTACGAGGGAACTTGTGGGGCTACTCGGAATGCCCTCTGCCTGATTGAGAGGCAGTCACAAGGATGTATAAAATTATCAGAATTTTTCCAACTGTGCAGGTAAAATGAGTGCATTTTATTTATAGTATGTAAATTATACTTCAATAAAATCAATTTAAAAAGTTAAAAGAAGGCTGACATATATAAAGATAATTTTGAAACCCTTACGTACAGCCAATAATTTAACTCTTCCCATAGTTATTTATTCCATTTTTGTAGCTGTGTTACAGAACAAACAAGGGAACATGGGTCTCTCCTTTTCCCCTTTGGACATTCGATGGAGGTGCTGAAAGCAGCAGGCACAGCCCGAGGAAAAAGAGGGGGACGGATCTGAATCATCACGAGTGGCTATCACAGCCAGTGGCCCTACCTCTGCTTTTACATCTGAAACCACATTTAACACCATTAGCTCTGAGCCTCCAAAGTGGGCTTGAGCTTATTTACAAATGTGTTAAAACTGAGATTTCCTTTCCCTAAAGTTCCAACATTTCATGAAAATTGGTTATGGAAAGCTTTAGCAAACATACCCAAATGGACAGAAAGCATTATGGGGTAGGAAAGGGGGGGGGTACAGTTTAAAGCTTTAAGTAGTTAAAAATTATAGCCTAGATATCCACTCCCTTAACTCCCTACGTCCAAGTTTTTCGTGCAGCCGGTCCCTACGAACACCAGGAACCAAAGGGCACGAGCACCAGCGAGAGGCTGTTAGAGCCCGCACTTTATTGCCCATTACTACCGAGGTCATTAGCAGCAAGAGGGATTGCACCGTCTTAACCTATTGATCACTGTAACTACCATCATTTAATCCTGTGTTGAATGTCTGGAAAGCGGCTAAAGGCACACAAGAGAGAGTGCTTTAGCATTGAGAAATACGGTCAAAGCTCAGAAATTACACTGTGATTCATAAAACCTAGCTAGTGGTTTAAATCAATAGTATTTAAAACAGTCATGTGAGTTTTTAACTACAGTGTTCTAATATTTATGGGCCCCTCTCTGAGAGTATTCAGTCAAAACTAAAACTTTTGGCTCCTAATTCTATGCCATCCACTTACCCTCCTTGAGAAAAACACACAGTAATTTCTGATGTTTTTTTGTGTGTTAGAAGGCTCATGCCTTAACTGGGAGTTCAACCTATTTCTTGATTTCTTTCTCAAATGACAATTTAAATATAATGAAAAAAGATCATGTCTGTGATACTGTAACTACCTTAACTGTTTGAGTATCTAGAAATGAGTATGTTTTCTGAGTTAACAATGAATCATAGAAGGAAATTTATGAAGAACTAGAATGATTCTGTCTAGCTGCCTTCAGGGATCAGAAATGCAAATTAAACTTGTGGCAGACATTTAAAGAATGCTAGCATACAAAACCGAATATCACACACACACACACACACACACACACACACATGCACACACAGACACACACACACACACTCTGTGATACACTGTTGACTGATACCAACTGGGAGTGGCCGACCCCAGGTGTGCATAAACCTGCCCGAGTAGCAGAAACACAGCTGAGCTTGGGCCATGGGACGCTGCTAGTATGGGCATGTTGCCACCTTACTGCCAGAAAGTGGCAAAACGTTGTCAGCACAAACAAGTGCTGCTAAAAGCCCCTCCACTGCGGTATACGTGCTGCCTGATGCAGACCCTTTTACTTCACAATGACTCTAGCGTCTGAACGCTAGAAGATCACTAAAATGTACTCTTTGTAATATTTTAAGCAATAAAAATAAAATAAAATAAAATGGCTGGTATTACTGTTTTCTCTTATTCCTAAGGGCCATGGTATGTGATGGGAAGGGGAAAAAATCTTAAAGGCTCACAAATAAAAACACCCATAGAAACAACACTTATTTTTAATCTAGGAGACAATTGGAGGAATTGGGTGGGAGGGGAGAAGACACAACATAAATACTGAAAATCACACTTTATCTTTTTTTTGCTTTCTCTTTAGTTTATACTCATTTATCTACAAGGAAATACTACCCAGTGTACACACAGAAATTGGCTCGTCAACTTCTTCTCATAATTGCTATGTGTAGAAATAATAAAAATGAGAAGATAAAACATTTTAAGGACAGTTATTTCAATTATCTGGATTAATAATTTAGAAACCATTTTTAATCTCTGGCCTTTTACCACACGTATGTCCCAGGAAACTGGAGTGCCATAGAGACCTCGGGTTGAGTTTGGATGTTAACTGACCAGGTTAGGCACTGGTTCATCAAATAACCAGAGCAAATCAAATTAAATTAGAAGGCTCCAGAATATCAAAACAAAACCAAAGAAAATGGCTCCGCTGAAAAACCAAAACACACACACACACACACATGCACACACACACGCACACACACGCACACACACAACTATGCCAAATTTTACAAAGCCATACAGAATAGAAGCC